GGGGACAACATGTAGGAAAACACTGTCCCGTTTTGGTACATGCTCAGTACCATTGGCCTGGATTTACAAAGACACACATGTACACACTGAAGCTCTGACATTTGAAAAGGACTTTTTAGCCCTCCTACCTGACGTTTTCCCTTCTTTCTAGCTCTGTCAGATGAAGCGGGATATTTCTTCTTCAATGGGAACACTGTGTTTGACAATCCTCAGAATTTCCACGTGGCAGGAACAGTGTTCAAGTACCGACGTCCAAGCGTCGTGTTGTCTGATGGGTTGGAATACATCATTGCCCAGGGACCCACTCTGCAGGGTCTTAATGTTATGGTAGTACAGGAACACACACACACACACACACACACACACACACACACACACACACACACACACACACACACACGTGTTTGTTAGTTTGACTGTAACAAGGCTGCGTGTCATTTCAGTACTACAACTTGAATGGGAAACTCCCCCACATCACCTACGAGTATACCATCCCACTCAAGTCTCAAGCAGCTGCCGCAGCCTCACACCACTCCAATCTTAACCTCACCTATAATGACGTAAACGTGGATGTCAGAGGGGATCAGAGTATCTCGATGAACCACAGCAGAGGGTCAGCATCTGTCCATCACGACCTGCACGACCACCCAGATGTCCAGCTGCAGGAAGAAGAGGAGGAGGAAGTGGTGTGGGAGATCCAGACCGCCAGACCAGCACCAGTGGACATTATGGTCTACAGACCAGCTGACGTCATCACTCGTGTGTTTAGTCACAATGATGTGGAGGAACAGGGACCTCCAGCACCATCTGGCTACAGTAAGTTTCATTCATCTTACTTGTATTATTAAAGATGTTCGACTGACTGAGTCGTGCCAGAGGTTCAATCAGGAGACAACAACAGCTTTAGTGATCCTTTAATCTTCCGTGATATTGGTGCTTTCTAACCACATGATTTCTGCCACTGTCTTTCTTTTCTCTGGTCATGAAGAAAGCTCTTCCAACTCTTCCAACGAGCACTCGGCTGAAGATGACAACACGCTAATGCTCACCTTCCCAGGTAGAAAAGACAAATCCAGTTGTTTCCCAAATGTTTTCACTTCAGACATCTTCCTTGTGTACAGTAAGGCGGTGGTTCCCAAACTTGCTTTGCTAGGCCCCTGTTGTCTTACAAGAACCCCGCCCACACACACACGTGCACACACGCCCATATTTTGTTTCAAACTCCACTGCAGTTTATAAATTGTAAACAATGAAAGAAATAAAAGGTTACAGGTTGCAATTAAATAAACCGCTACCTCCTTTTAAAAAAAGAAAAACAAACCATCTTTAATTATTTTACGTATAGTTGTTTGTGTTGTTTTTTAGGTTTTTACTGTGTAATAATATTCAACATTTTTCAAAAAAATGTCTGTGCAGAGTGTTTAAAACATGAACGACTGTGGGATACTGTTTGTCCGTGATTTTGAACCGGGGGAACAAACTGTGTCGGTGTCACTGACCAAACGTCTTCCCCCTGCGTGGCGAGCATTCACTGGGCACGGAGCGAGGATCCAGTTATTCCGCCTCCGTTACAGATATTAGACGTGGAAGGAGCGAGTGTTGTTACATTACCATTCAGTTTGAGGGTTACACCAGAAAATTTATATTTATTGTTCTCACGTGGTAACAGACAGTATTATTTTAACAAACATTTTGCTTGGTAATTATTTTTATCCTCCTGTAACTTTACTGTATAAAGAGCTAAAACCTCCAAAGTTTCAGGAGTAGTTAGTCGTTTAAGAAGTGTTTGTGAACTAAAAATCAAGAATGTGGGATTCTGTTTGTCCGTGATTTGGAGAGCCCAGCGCTGCTCCCGACGCAGGGAAAACCAATTCTGCAGGGGAGACCTACATTGGCACTTGTGCAGGTGAAGCCAAAGGGAAGATATGCTTCACCATATTTTCTAGTCTTTGGCTTGGAAGGAAGTTGGTTTGGAAGAATATTTGGTAAATGGACTGGTTCATATATAGCGCTCTTCTACTCTATCTGAGCACTCAAAGTGCTTTATACAAATATTGGTGGGTGAGTGAATACTTTGGACAATACAGGGTGTGAACGCGGAATAATACAGTCTGATGTTTATCAGCTATGTGTGTGACTGGGAGCAGCTTCATTTTTCAGACAATGATCCTGAACAGAGATACTTCTACTGCCAATAAAGGAACCTGGAGAACTCCTCCTGAAGGCTGCTTAAACTTCAGAGTTCAGGGTGTGAATAAGACCTGTGGTCACACCAAAGCTCACTGGACTCACGCACCAGTGTTGGGCCAATATACTACAACCACAGTTCCAGTGAAGTTGGGATGTTGTGTAACACAACACAGATGTTTACAAAGTGGTGAACCTCGCCCCATCCTTTAAAACGACTGAGCCGTTTGGGGATGCTCATGACAAACACCTGTTTCCCACTAACCTGTTCACCAACTTTCCCAGTCTTTTGCTGTCCCTGTAGCCGTTTCCCATTTTTCTAGCAAATTGTAAAGAAGTGGGGGAAAGCACAAGAACAGGACTGTAGAGTTTGACTTTGATTATATGAAAAAGACACCTAATAATATGAAGATTAGCAAATAAAAAATGAAACCTTAACCTTGAAAGTAATTTTAAAAATCATTTGTTGTTCACAGGTGATCAGAGGGTTCATCCTGCAGCAGAAGATGCTCCCCACCTGCTGCTGGAGGAGACAAACACTCACTCAGCCACACACACACCCACTGAGCAGCAGTCAGTTGCTGCTGCAGACACAGACACAAGCTCACAAATGCACAAGGACGTTGTCACAGTCATGGACTCTGTGGCCTCAGAAACAGTCAGTGGTCCTCACACCGCCATCCTGGTAGAGCTGCAGCAGGTGTCAGAGGTCCAGGCAGCCGACACGGAGAGGTACGATGAAGCATCTCATGATCCTCAGAGCTTATTCTGCATTTGTACTGTAATCATAACAAGAACTGCTTCACATACAGTCCTTCATCTCATCACCACACTGGGTTCAGATGTGTGCAGACTGGTCTGGGCTTTAACACGTGATCCTCAGGTTCAGTGAAGTCATTGTGACATTGGTGGGTTTCATGAATCTGCCTCCTGTCTGTGTTTCTGCTTCCTTCTAGCAACAACTTTGATGTGGAGCCACATATTAGTCTGGGAGACCTGTATAGCTGGAAGGTGTCTGCTTATGCTCCATGCAGTTCCACCTGTGCAACAGGTAAACACAAAGCTGTCACCTGATACTGTTAGAGCCAAACCAGATATTTGTGTGATTGGCTGCTGCTGCAAATCAGCACAGATTCAAGCACAGTGTAAAAGTGATTGTTCTACATTTAACTGAAGGTGATCATAGTGACACTGTACTCGCTATCCCTGAGGGACTGATGAACTCCTGATGCAGGTCTAGACTTGGTGATGCGATGTTACAGTACTGCTCTGACACTGGACAAACCGTATTATGTTGTAACTTTGTAACTAAAAATATGATTTTGACTAACACTCCTTGTTTAATAATCCATACTGAAGAAGTGAATTTGTCAACAACAGTTGCAGTGGAAATGTTTCATTGTGTTTGACGCTTTGTGCTCTTCCTGACTGAATCAGGCTGAAATGGTGTGAACAGGCCAGGGGGCCAAAAACCTGCATTTTCAGTGTTGCCACATAATCGTGTCAGTCACAGCTGCACTCAGGATGGAGAGTACAATGTGATGGTAAAAATGGCTCACAGTGATGCTCTGGCTTTGTGCTGGGAGACTGCTGCAAACTGAGACCCAGCCTAAATGTGATCGACCTGTTTAGGTGAGCTTGAAAGAAGAGCTGATGTCTGCTTTGTGTAGTGTTGCAGTCTGTGGTGAAATCATACGATGCACAGAGCAGGAGAGCAGCACAGAACTACCAGAGCAATCTAAAAATGGCTCTGAACACCATCTGTCCATGAAGCCAGATAACACACACCAAT